ATAAAAGCGCGGGAAAACTTGTCTTCGCGAAATTTATTTGTTTGCAACAGCCTAGAAGTTAGTAATATTATTTTTTTCGTTAAAATTAGGTCAAATTTCCTTTAAATTAACATACATGGAATTGAGTTTATTTATGTACACATATTTGTAAAAACAGGCTTATTACCTTTTTTTTAGTTATTTAAGCAAATTCGCCGCCGATAATGTAGTAATGTTGTCGCTGTATTAGTCTCGCTGTATTTACTTTATCGCTTATTGACAATTTTTGTTCTATAGAATGGGTTTGTTCGATATAATAAAAGTCCTATTGGATTCATCTTCGCCCAATATGGCAAAATATTAAGTCTCGACTTAATATTTTGCCATATTGGGCTCAGAAGAATCCAATAAGATATAATATTGGATCGGCACGTGACTCTCTCAACGACTACTGATTGGTTAAGTGCGCGTGAGTTTATAAATATAATTTAATATATTGGGGTCACGCAAAACTATACTTCGGAAAATTAAATACCAAATTTACTAACAACATTTTAAGCATCTAGTAATTGAAATTTGGTCACCTGGGAATTTTATAACGAGATCAAAAACTATTCCAAGATGGCGGACAGATATTTCAAAATATTTCAAGAACTAACCAAGGTATGAAAAATCAGTAGAGGATTTTATATAAAATTTGGAAATACTATCAAGTGAGAAAAGCTTATAATTTTTATAACCATATATTGCTTTAGAAGAACATTTGAAATATTCGTGAAATATCTTGACTTGATTAGTGAATGAAGTGCATGGGCAGAAATTGGTCTTCTGTCATTTTTATCATGCAGTACGTGACCTCATCTGATTGCTCAAGAATTTTTCCTCAAATGTGAGAATTTGCTTAAACTTTCCGCACTCGTTAATATCAGAAATACTACAAATGCTTTTTTCTATTTTTCAAACATTTTAATATATAGTAAGATTCTCGAAAAAAGTAGATGTCGGAAAAAGATTTTCGAAAAATATGACACGAAAAATGCCGTATCAAAAAGCCAAAATAGAAATTAAAAACCTTAAACGCGTGAAGTCACCGACGTTCTTTATAAGAACAATTTTAAGTAAGTTATGTCAGATCACTGACCATAAAACTTGAGATTCCTGGATGTGCAATCCAAAGTAACATCACAATTGTTGTATAAAGATAAACTATAGTCGTATAAAGATAAACTATAGACTATAGTCGGGGCTAAGTATGTAGGCCTAATTAGCAAAGCATACTACAAATACTACAAACTATAGTCGGGGCTAAGTATGTAGGCCTAATTAGCAAAGCGTAATATTTGATGTAAAGCGGCGTATTTGATCATATTCACATGTATAGGCTAAATTTGCGGTATAGGCTAGACATGCTAATCGTAATCATCAATAAAAATGCTCAGTTTTATTGAGAAAGCAACATCTACCCGCTTTCCCTCATCCCATCTTATAAAATTAAATGTCAGCACAGAATGATCTTAATTTACACTTAACTCTATATGCGTCGAAATTAAAGGCTCTCATTAAGACTTTGCCCCGGTAGTTGCATACTTGTAATTTCTTTTAAAATGTCCTTTATACTCTTAACTGACCGTTAATGAGATGCAAGTTTGACTTTGAACCGTGCATTTTCTGTACAGTAATCCATGATTACGTACATTTCATTATTCAATCCAATTCGAAAACTATGCAATAAGGAACGAAGTTAAGAGTTGCATGAAACATGATTTAGAAAAACTGTCAAAACATACAAGACTTTAAAAGGCTAGTTCTTTCGAACAAAGCAAACTATGTTATTAGTGTGGCGGATATGTGCATGGATGTTTCTAAAGAGGGTTAAAAGCACCAAATTGTGCACAGCAGCATCTTTTTATGAGTAGAACAACGTGCAAAAGTGGGGCCATCGTGAAACTGTTTTTTTAGAGAGTTACGATGCTATTAGCATTATTTGCTATTAAATTCTACTACAACAAAAAATGTGAAATTTTGAATTCAATCGCGACAAATATAACTTGCATCATCAGAAATCTTGTAAAAAACTACATAAAAGACTTTTAAACAGTTTTTTATTCTTCAAATGGTTATGTAAATTAGGCACATTATCTCGCTAAAAGTCCCTAATTAATTATTCGATGTTTGAACTGAATGCGTTTTTAACAGTTCAATAATTCGAAAACTATTTCAGAAATCAAAAAACTGTCTAAACGTCTTATATGCAGTTTTTTATAAGCTTTCTGATGATGCAAGCCATATTTGTTGTAATTGAATACAAAATTTCACTTTTTTGGCTATAATAGAATTCAATAGAAGAAAATCACTAATCACCCGTTTTCAGGAGTTAGCAGCAAAATAGCGATGGCCTTTACACATATCCGCCTCACTATAATGAATGTGCTCATCTAAAATATGGCCTGCAAATTATGTGCATTCATTGCCAGCAATTTATATTTTGAACTGCCAAAATTGTTTCACTCTGCTGTGAAATAAATTAATTAACAATTATTCGCCGAAGGCGAGGTGATTATCGGTGAATAAAAATCGAGACGAAGTCGAGGTTTTTATTCACGATAATCACCGAGCCTGAGGTGAATAATTGTTTTAGTATAATTTCATAGGTAATTATTTGGAAAAAAATAAGAAAGTACACATTTCTTTGTCATTTAATTGACAAAAAGGCTTCGGCCGCCATTTTGAAAATCGCTTAGGTGATTATCGCGTAATAATCACCTCAACGGCAACCAATCAGCGTGGAGAATTTTCAATAATCACCTATGTAATTATACTAATGAATGTTATTTTAAATTATACTTCACTCATTTATGCACGGGGGTGTCAATCTCGTACCCAGAGCAATGCCTGTACGCGGGCTAGGATGGCATCCTAGCCCGCGTACAGGCATTGCTCTGGGTACGAGATTGCGGGGGTGTCGGAGTCACGAGAACAGCTGTCCCAAACAGTGCGGGGGCTGCACGGGGGCAGGGCAGGTTACCTTTTTTGGTTACAAGAACTATACACAGTCTGTAATGATGTGATGGTCTGGAATCCCGGCAAACTTCAAAGCTACAAAATAGCTAGAAGGCTTTTGCTTGATGTTGAACTACACCTCGCCATGAAAAACATTTGTCTAACTATATTGGCTACAAGTAATAATCAAGTATCCATACAGCGAAATATCAATGAGCAATGCCACCCACAAAAATTAAGGCCACTCAGACGGTAGACTTGCTCCAAGTCTCTCTTTGTGGACATCTATATATTGTACATCGATCTATATTGTGCGTTACATGCAAGGGTGGGTTGACTACAAAATTTTTGTAGTTCGCTATAACTACAGCTACTTCAAAAATATGTAGTCAGCTACAACTACTGCTACTTTTGAACAAAGGTAGTTCGCTACTGACTATAGCTACTGCTTAAAAAAATGTAGCGAACTATTTCGCTATCTCGCTACGCCTACGCTATATTTTTTAGTTTTACTGTATTTGGAGCATCTATACTAACTCAGGCTGTAATGTAACCTATAACAAATAGACTTACGAGTAGCAACAGTAAACACAAAGCAACATTTTTGTAATCACTACAGTGCTCAGGAGTGCAAATTGACTATTGAGTATCGATTTTAAGCAAACCGTATCTCAATATCATGCTATTC